CTACCCAACAGGAGATAAAGAGAGGGACTCCAGCTGTAGCACAATCCAGACTTACTGGCTCCAGGGGAACTGACAGCTGAAAACACCGAACTAGGCCCTGACACCAGCTTTTAAACAGGAGAGGATACAGAGGTGGAGTCTGGTCTTCAGCTAATCAGTGAGAGGGTAGGAGTGGGGAGAGGGTGAGAGATACAGTGGAATAACCAATATGGAAAAGCCTGGGGAGGGGCCCTGGCCCCCGAACCAATCACTCGACGCCCTGACTGGAAGATTCTAGAGGAAAAGGATGGGCCCCTGAGTGATGGACAGGGCACCAGGGAGGGACTAAGGAACAGATACATGGGTTGCCAAGGGGAACAGGGAGGAGAAAACTGGACTGACAGGGCGAGCGAGGAGAGAGAGAACCAGGGCAGGCTAATCAGTGAGAGGGTAGGAGTGGGGAGAGGGTGAGAGATACAGTGGAATAACCAATATGGAAAAGCCTGGGGAGGGGCCCTGGCCCCCGAACCAATCACTCGACGCCCTGACTGGAAGATTCTAGAGGAAAAGGATGGGCCCCTGAGTGATGGACAGGGCACCAGGGAGGGACTAAGGAACAGATACATGGGTTGCCAAGGGGAACAGGGAGGAGAAAACTGGACTGACAGGGCGAGCGAGGAGAGAGAGAACCAGGGCAGAGCCGCTACAAACAAACGGGTACATGGAAATAGTTCTCTTGTGGCTTCAGTGCTACAGCAAATCAGCCATCTGGGAAAGAAAAATCTGTTTGCAGTGTGAAAGTCCCTCCCAATGACTTGCAGCTTTTCCACAGCTGCTTTCATGGGGCATGTCAACTTATGGGTACTATTTTAGAGGATGAGCTGTTCTAGCATAAAAGCAAAAGTTCTTGTGAGAAGTGATGCTCACTTTTAAAAATTTAAAAAGTTTATTAAGATCTTATCAAACTACAACAGAAGACTGAATAAGGAAAAATACAGTGCCAGGAGTAAAGGATTCAACCACCTCACTCGTCTGCAAAATGGATGCTCCTTCTTTTATACCTTTATGCTCCTACTTTTATACCTCTAGCCCCTCCCAAATTCTTCTCAATCAACTCCTTCTTTGCTGTCTAGTGGTGGAGATCACTTTCTTACATCTTGATTGGAGGTGAGATGTTGCCATAGTAACAAGTTGACCCTTCCAAATGCCCTGACTACTAAGGCCATCCCATGAAAATGATGCAAGAAGGAGGGGAAACATAACTACAAAACTTCTCTTAATATATACATAATATTCATTCCTTAATTGTGAGAGTCAACTATCGCATTACTCATCTATAATATTCTCTTTATTTATCTGTGGGAAACAGAGGTTTTCTTCTTCTGTTCCTGGGGCAAGGTTTTTCATGTCTCTCATTTCTCTCTGTTTAACCTTCTAATTGGATCACAGGTACTTCAACATCTGATTGCTTCAGCACTGATGCCTCTGTTCATGGCGGTGGTTAGAATGCTACATCCGCCAATGCATTCCATGAGTTACAAGCAGGAAAAAATGTGATGTATCAATCATATCTTCATCATAGTCTTACAAGAGAATTTCAGCCCAAGATTAAGGCATCTTCTCATTCTTCTCCCATCTGGGATTTGCCCCTTTCTTCACTGACCTCACCGGTGTTTCTACGTTGTTCTCTCCATATGCCTTCACCTTTCCCTTTCTCTGACTCAGGAGAAGATTGGTTCCTGCAGGCTTATCTGTTCTTAAATGGGATTCTACAGCACTGAAAGAGATAATCTTACCTGGGTCTTGCATTAGGAAATGGCCTTTTGCTCTTGGTCACATTATCTCTGCTGGGCAGCAGCCAGAGCTGTTCATGGTGGAAGATTTTTTCGGTGGCAGCACTGTAGGGAGGAGTGGCTAGGAGTTCAGCAGCCAGGCTAGGGCTCAGTGGCAGCATACCACAGGCTGATGACTTCCCCTACACGGTGGTTGTGGGTGAAACTCAGCAGCAGTGGAATTTCAGCCAAGCCACGCTGCACCTGGCCTGGGGGCTAGCAGATCCAGCCTGGCCTGACCAGTGCTGCAGAAGAGCAGGGTCTGGCCCGGTCCCGCCAGGCCTCCAATGCAAAACCAGAACACCTGGCCAGGGTCCAGGTATCTGCTCAAAGGCTGGAAAGCAAGAGAGTTTTTTTCCAGACTTTCTTTGTTTTTAAATGCAATTTCACAGAGGCGTGTCCAGCCTTCTTAAGTGGTTTAACAAGGTGTCAATATTCAAAACTAGCCAGCTGATTAGTTCTGTTGAGTCCAGAGGAAGCTGTCAGCAGTCCTCCGAGAGAATCACTTCTGTAACTGATGGATTTTGTCTTTAACTAAAAACCAAGATATGTTAAACCATGACAGCATGTTGCCCACAAATCCAATACTGCCCTTTCAGAGCCAGGTCATGTTGGCAAAGGGGTCTTCCCAATTTTCATCATTAATTGGTGGGTCAAAATACTTACTTGCTTCCTGGGCCTAGTGGTCCCCCGACAATGGTTGTCCCACTGTAAGAAGCACAATATTTGCATTTCCAAACTCCCACATGCAGTTTCCACCTGCAGTTACATCCCAGATCTGTTTTGCTGGATCTGGACCAGAACATATTAAAAGGGTCTGAGTTCCATTCCGGTGTTGCCATTTCCGCTGGTAGTCGCACACTGTCGCTGTCGAGGCAGTCACGACACGAAGCAGAGACCACAAGCAGTCTCAGATGCCAACTCTTTATTATCAAACATGGCTGACCTTTTATACACTTTCTAATTTTTTATGCTTCTTCTACCCTAACTATTGGACACAATAAATCAGCATAACACCATTGGTGAAAAGTTACAGTGACTTAACTAACTTTCTAAAAATACTTTGTGTAGCTGTGAAGTTCTCTTCTTATCTTTCTTCAGTTCCTCAGTTCTTTTGGTCTCCTTCGTTACAGCCTTGGAGAGAGCTCCTTATCAGCTTCTTCTTTCTTCTCAGCTTCTTCTCGCTCCTTTAGCTAACAGGCCTGCTGTTAGCCCCTTCCACAGCACACAACATGTGTCCTACTTGTGGAATTATCTCAGGGACAGCTTAAAAATACGCAGTCAAAAAAACTGTCCTTCCCCACTGTAAAATCCCTTCAGTAATTATAGTAGGAACACCTTACCCAGCTACCATTAGTGAGCTTAACATGCATTTGATTCCAGCTGCCTCAATCGTAAAGAGGGCAGTTGGGGGTCCAACAATCTAAACCCAAAGATAAAGTCCAGTCAAAGACGCTTTTTCTGACATACATGCCTCCTCTTCTATTCAAACAAAAAATGCCTCTTTGAGAAAAATTAAGTCATCATGGACTTCCTTATCCCAAAATCTGGTTCCATTATAGATCTCACTCAGGGTGCTGACCCATCATATAGGCTCTATTGCGCTGGCCACCCATGGCCACTCTTCATATCCTCCTTGCCCTCTACAGACCCAGCAATTGCTAAGGTTAAAGGATTTTGCTGCTTCTTCTCCTGGGACTAAAAACCAATTCTCACATCTCTGGCTCAGACCGAACTGACAATATAAAGGTACGATCTAATCATTAGGAAAAACATTCTAATGGTGTAATCTCATTTCCTAACCTAATTCTCATGTTGTCTTCCATACCACCTGCGGCCAATGAAGGCACAGAAACAACTCAACATAAAGAAAACAGTGACAGTGAGGACTGGCGCCCCCAATGACTAGAGATTCTAAAGGAGTGATGCCCATACAGACTATTTCAGCATGCAGTCTGTGGGTAGACACAAAAGGCTTCCCTGATGTCGATGCACTGGCTACTGCTTCAGTCCACTCCTGCGGAATGTCAGTCAATTTTGCTGCTTCTTCTCCTGGGACTAAAAACCAATTCTCACATCTCTGGCTCAGACCGAACTGACAATATAAAGGTACGATCTAATCATTAGGAAAAACATTCTAATGGTGTAATCTCATTTCCTAACCTAATTCTCATGTTGTCTTCCATACCACCTGTGGCCAATGAAGGCACAGAAACAACTCAACATAAAGAAAACAGTGACAGTGAGGACTGGCGCCCCCAATGACTAGAGATTCTAAAGGAGTGATGCCCATACAGACTATTTCAGCATGCAGTCTGTGGGTAGACACAAAAGGCTTCCCTGATGTCGATGCACTGGCTACTGCTTCAGTCCACTCCTGCGGAATGTCAGTCACAGCCTCCCATCCTTCTCCTCCAAATGAGATGTCCAAACTTCCAGGGTTTTAGAGATCTTGACAGGAGTGTGATGGGTCCACCTGTGGTCAGCAACACTTGGAAAGGTTCACGCCACTTTGCCACCAGAGGTGCTTCTTTCCCCTCCTTAACTGGGACCCAGTCTCCTGGCTGGATGTTATGAGCAGCAAAATCCAAAGGCAGGGGCTGTGCCAGCTGAGCTTCCTGTTGAAGAGATTTCACAAGAGACAGTGTTGTGGCCATGTGTTGTTTTAAATATACACCACTTATTTCCACACCCCACCCCGCCCCCAACTAGGCTGAGAATTGCAAGGGTAAGAAATTCCAAACATCCGTTCAAAGGGCGATAATTGAGTATCTCCTCTGGGCCTGGCCCTTATTCTTTACAAAGAAAATGGCAACAGCTGCACACATGGCATCTTGCTTTCTGTCACCAGCTTTGAAAGGTGTTTCTTTATTTCTCCATTCATTCTTTCAATCCTGCCCAAGCTCTGGGGGTGCCAGAAGGCATGGAGGTTCCATTTTATTCCTAAAGCAGTTGTAATGGCTTGAACGACGTTTCCAGTCAAATGAGTTCCCCTATCAGAGTTTATTACGTCCAAAATCCCATATTTGGAATTATGGAAGGAGACCCTGGGTCTTGTGCCATCCCAGGCCTGGCGCCAGCAGCTGGGTGGGAGCAATCCCCAGGGCTGCAGCTGCTGCAGAGCCTCTGCCAGGAGCGTGGGGCTTCTGACAACACCTTAGGGAATGTCTCTGTTCTTCCTCCACAGCCATGGATTTGCAGGAGGACACACAGGAGGGGGATGCAAAGGCACAGCTCCTGGCAGAGGCATTTCACAAGGAAGGACTGGATGCTGGATACTGGCTGCCCAAAGCTTCACAGATCCTGGGAATCAAGTGCAGAGAAGCCCTGCAACATCTGGAATATGAAGACTACCTCAGGTTGGAGTGTGAAGTGCAGCATCCCTGGGAGAAAAGGGCACTCCAGAAACTCCTGAAAATAAAAGATGACAAAATGACCACTAAAGAGGTGCAGAAGGAGCACTTGGAGAAGACAAAGCAAAGACAAGAAGTGGCCAAAAAAGCCCTGAAGGATCTGACAGAAATGCTCAAGAGCCGCAGCCACAGCCAGGATGCTCTGAGGGAGAAAGCAGAGACTCTGTGGCGAGCCATGGAGATTCCCAAAGAGTTCTGGCCACAGCCAAAGAATCCCTTGGTGGATATGCTGGAGAGCATCCAGAAGCAGCTGGAGCAGCAGGAGCTGTCAGCAGGCAGGAAGGAGAACATCCCTGACACGGAGGTGCTGAGGCGGGCGTCAGGGGGACTGGCCCTGCAGGGCATCTACAGAACCAGCAGAGCTGAAGATGTGCTGGCAAAGCGAGAGCAGCTCCTCAGGGTTCCTGAGGGGTTCCAGCTCACCAGTCCAGAACAAGGATCGCTGCTTGAGAGGAAGGAGTTCTCCCCCTCTGCAGCAGAATCCACTTTCACCAAGTCCATGCAGCAGCTGGGGTTCAGCATGAGCGTTTCTGCCAAATCCTCATTCTGGGGGATTAATCTAGGAGCGGGTGTAGATCACACCAGCTCCACACAGTCCCAGAACACCCACCAGTCCCACTCTGAGCAGAGCTACTTCTGCACCACCAGGTACCAGTACATCCCTCTGGCCTCCTGCTATTTCCAAAGGCATCAGCTTCGCCTCTCGGATGCGGCTCTGCGGGAGCTGCAAGACATGGAACAGAGTTTGAACTTCAGTCAGGAAGAAGACAACCCCACCTTGGTGAAGATGTGCGAGAGCTTCTTCAGCAGGTTTGGGTCCCACATAAACCAGGGTCCCCTCCACTTTGGGGGGATATTCTGGTGGAAAGCATCTACAGAAGGATTCCGAGCCGAGCAGCGGGAAGAGATGAAGCGACTAACGTCTGAAGCACTGAACAGCTTTGTCAGGAAGAGCTATGGTGACTTCCTGGCAAGTGCCGGGGGGGCCCTGCATGTTTCCAACTCCAGATCAAAAGCTTCTATCCAGGGAAGAACTGGAGAGAGTTCTCATGCAGCAATTCAGCTCTACGTGGTCAGCACAGGGGGCCCAGCAGACACAGCTTCCCTTCCTCAGTGGAAAACGGGGCTCGTGTCCGATAACACAACGTGGTGCGTTATCGATCGTGGCTTTGAGCTGATCCCAGTGTGGGACGTCATCCTGTGCAATCACTGCAGGGCATGCTTGGATGACAAATGGGAAGAAGAGAGGACACAGAACATACTCAGTGACCTGGAAGACACACTTCCAAAACCTGAGGCCCCCAGTCAGTCCCAGTCCAAGTCAGACAGCAGGGAATCCAGAGAAAATGAAGCCATTGCAAACCAAGAGTTCCTCCAGTTGCTCAAGCGCCTTGGACTGGAAAGTCACTATCCAAGGAAAATGGGGATGGGAGATTTCCGCACCATCTGCAAGACATCTCTGCAGGACAGCCAGCCCAGCCAGGACAAGGAACTGCCATTGTACTTCTTGCAAAAGCTGTTAACTGTGGATTACCGGGTGAGGTACCTGACTTGCTTGGATGACAGCAACCCAGGCCTTGCACCCATGCCACAAACCAGAGAGCAAGACAACCAACAATCAGACTCCTTTGAAAACTTTCTTGATAAGCTGATGGAAGCAGGCCCAAAACATGCAAGCAGGGACGGCCATGTGCACCCCATGGACCTGCAGATGGCCATTGAACAACCCAAAACTTGCAGCCCAGCCAAAATCCACAGCAAAAGAGCAACAATGCTCTGACACCTTTGAAGAGTTTTTTAATGATTTGGAGGAAGCAGCCCCTAAACGTGCCAGCAGGGACAGCCACGTGCACCCCATGGACCTGCAGATGGCCATTTTCCATTGTGCTGATGACAGCCTTCATGCAGCTCATCCCAGTGGGCAAGGAGCTGCAGCAAGACTTGGGCTTTGATTTTGTGCTGGTGGTTGACACAGAGGGGCTTCGTGCCATCGAGATGGCCAACAAACAGTCCCTGAACCATGACAACGAGCTGGCCACCTTTGTCATTGGTGTTGGCAACGTGACTGTGATCAATATCTTTGGAGAAAATCCATCCGAAATGCAAGATGTTCTCCAGATCGCTGTGCAGGCTTTCCTGAGGATGAAGAAAGTCAATCTTTCCCCAAGCTGTGTCTTTGTCCACCAAAACGTGGGAGAAGCAACTGCCAAGGAGCAGAACATGGAAGGACAAAGGCGCTTGCAGGAAAAGTTGGATGAAATGACCGTGGTAGCTGCTCAGCAGGAATTCTGTGACGTCTCCTCTTTCAGCGATGTCATTGCCTTTGATGTGAACACCCACATTCACTACTTTGCTCACCTGTGGGAAGGAAACCCCCCAATGGCACCACCCAACCCCACCTACAGCCAGAACGTCCAGCAACTCAAGAGCAAAATCCTCCAGGCTGCCAAGAATCAGTCTCAGTGCAGCATTTTGAGGCTCTCAAGCCTGAAAGATCGTATTGGTGACCTCTGGAATGCTTTGCTGAATGAAAACTTTGTTTTCAGCTTCAAGAATTCCCTGGAGATCAGAACAGGAAAATTTTGAGTATTTCAAGCAGTACCTTACGTCTCCAAAACAATTTTGTGAGAGTTACATTGAGATACGGGTTAGGAATTACTGTTTAGAAGGGACTAGGAGGCTGGGGATGTTTTTAGATTCCTCTCTTAATCTTCTCTATCGAAACATCCTGTCAGTTGTTTCTTCATCAACCCAAATTGTCAAAGACAGAAAAGACAGAGAAGACAAAGTTTCTCTTTGGCTGGATGAATTTTGCAGGCAACTGACAGAGGTGATCAACTTGCCCAGAAGTGACCTGAAGGGCATCGAGCACCAGGAGGTCACAGACATTGAGTTTCTGAGCAGTGCCATGGCAGAAGCTCTGGATGACCTGAGGCACAGGCTCATGAAAGAATTGTCTGAAGCTGACCTGAGCTTGTTTCCAAGGCAGCCTCACACCATCCTGGTAGAGCATTTTTCAGGGTGCTGGGAGCAGTGTCCCTTTTGTGGGGCTGTCTGCACAAACACCATGCGGAATCACGATGGAGACCATCAGCTGGTCTTCCATCGCCCAGAAGCTTTGATGGGATGGAGGAAGTATGGGACAGACGAGCTGGTCATTGATATTTGCTCCAGCCGTGTTGCAAGTGATATCTCATTCATTCTTCATGACGGTCGAAAGTTCCCCTACAAGAGATACCGTGATGCTGGACCTCCTTTTTCCACTTGGAACATTCTTCCTGATTCATCCATGCAGGCGTACTGGAAGTGGTTTGTGTCTCATTTCAAGACACAGCTGGAAGCTCTGTACAATGGGAGATTTCACGGTAGAGGAGAAATCCCTGAGGCATGGCAGAGAATTACCAAGGAGGAAGCGCTGTCTGAGCTGGAGAAGCGTTAGGCCACGTCCATGGGGAGGAGGAACCACAAGAGCTTTGCAGTTTAGGAGAACTTTGTACCAGGCTCTCCACAAAATGCAGTTACAATGATGACACTCTCAAACCATGTTCACATAATGGCATCTAACTTTTCCCAAGTTCAGAGAAATAATGTTACTGTGGCCATTGCTCAGCAATGCCTCACTTCATGAGAAAGCCAGAATCCTCCTGCCTTTTTGCCTGATCTTCTTAAAGCACCTGCTGAACCTCAAGAATTAGAAATCCTTGGTTCATTAGCAACGGAATTTTGTTTCTCGGAATTTGAGTTTCAATTCCAGGGAGATCCACAATCAAATGTTACTCCCCATCATCCTGTGTACAGAAACTGAAGCTTGTGGTGCAATTGTACTACCCCATTGCCCCCTTAGGGTGAAATTGCTGACCTAGATGAGTCCCCACGGCAATTGCCAAAAAGAGATTAGCTCATTTGTAGAGATAGAGCCTGGAAAGGCATTCCCTCAAAAATGAAAAGTGCGGGGCTTAATTGCCCAGGAAAAGGTACCTGGACCATTTGTATTTCTTTGTTTTTATTGTCCTGCATTGTCCTAACCCTGATTGTCCAAACTCTTACTGCTCTAGTTTTATTTCTGTTTTAATAAGCATTTTATTACTATTAAACTCTAAAAAATGTAAAAAGAAGCGATTGGCATTTTTGACAGGGGGTGGCACTGGAGGAGGGGGTGTGACAGCAGAGCCTCTGCTCCGTTCAGGGTCTCTGCTCCAGGAGCAGCTTCACTGTCTGCAGGGACAGCAGAGAGGGCAGGAAGCCCCAAACCACAACATCCAGGGAATCCCATGTCAGGGGCAGGTGCCAAGGGAGGCAGGGCTGGGAACCCAGCCTGGCCTGTCCCACACAGGGAGGGCTGAGAAGGCTGATCCCAGCCAGGTTCTCTGCTCTGGAGCTGCTCAGCTGGGAACCTGCCGGACAAAAGGGGGAACGGGCCCAAACTCTGCCAAGCCCAGCCCTGGCCAAGCAGAGCCAGAGCCAGCGACAGGAGCCAGAGCTGGGCCGTGGCAGCGTGTGCGGCACGGGCTGAGCGCCAGGGACTGGGGACACCTGGGCTGGGAGGGGATTTGGGCCGGCTCCTGGAGCCAGACTGGGAGTGGAGGTGTCCCTGGCCACGGTGTCACCTCCTGGGCTGCGTGGGGAATGTCCCAGCGCAGCTACTGGAGTGACTGGGGGTTCCCAGTGCCACAACTGGGTGCAGTGGAGAGGACCCAGTGCAGCAAGAGGCCTGGGCTGGGGTATCAGGAGGGTGCAGGGTCCCTCACCTGTGGCAGCTGTCCCAGCTCCCTCTCCAGCACAGCCAGACTGTTCTCTGCACCTTTCCCTGTCTCTGCCAGGACTCCTTGGCCAAAGTCTCCCTCAGTGACATCGCCTGGCACCTCCTTCCTTGCAGGCCCTGCTGTGGGGAGGAGCACAAACAGATTAAAGGTCTTTTCCAGCCTCAACAATTCTTGGATGCGGGGCCTTCCAGTGACACCGGGATGCAGCAGCTCTCCCAGGCTGCACCAGTTTGGACTAAGGGTGGGGTGACCCTGTGTAACACCCCAGAACATTTAAATGTAAGGGGCTAAACTGGGGTTCCTTTCCTCTGCTTGGCTCACAGGAGAAATACCGAGTAGATATTCTTAGAGAGGTCAAAATTACACAGAACTTCGGTGGTGTGATAAATAGGTGTGATTCGTGCTGATAAAATTGAAACAGTAATCAATATGGATGTAGTAATCAATGTTTGGAGATAACAAAATGGTTAAAAAGGTAAAAAGCTAGGAAAGCGGAGGGGAAGGGTCCACCCTCCCCTTTATCTTCTGCAGATGTTCGAGGCAGGAAAAGGAGTCAGATAAACTTTGCTAAAATTAACTGAAAGAGGGAAAACTTGAGTGGAAATCAGAAATATGTTAATTTAC